CGCGAAATATCGATCACTAGGGGGGCGGGTACACACTCTGCCCTCGGTGCGGAAAATCAAAATTTCAGCATGCTTCGAGAGCTAGTTAGAAAAATATCAAAATGCTCCGAAAACCAGCTTGGGAATTTTCAGCATGCTCCGAGAAACAGCTAGGCAAGCGAAGATGCAACAGCAGCAACATATACAGCTGCGGGTAAAAAAAAACATCGAAACCCGACGGTAGACACGAGAGACACCCTATGACAACAACGACGACGATAATGTCGTACTATTCCAATGCGCATTCCAATATCAAGGCATTTCGGAACCGCATGAGAGTGCCGCAGTTATTCTCGAGTTCAAAACCGAAGGCAACCACCACAGGAGGAGGGTGGCAAGGGGCCTCAGGCAGTTGGGGGAACCCTTCTGTGCGACCTCGGCCTGGAGCTCCTACATACGGCAGAAAAAAAAAATGCTGCGTGTGAGCGCTGACTTAAAACTGATGAAAATATAAAATGTGTTCCGATGAACATTCACCTGACAGACTAAAATGCTGTGCGTGTGAGCGCGCTGACTCAAAGTGAACGCAAGGAACAAAAATATCCGACATGAAGGCAAATCGGCACCGCACGTGTTCCGATTAACAATCACCTGGGCGAGGCTGGTGTGGAGAGCCGCGTCGTCCCCTTTCCTCTTAGATTTAGACTTTCCCAGGGCCGCCAGCAAGCGCTCCATACCCTCAAGAGAGTCTGCCACCAGCTCCAGCTAAAAACCCCGTCCGTCGCATCGGAAAATAATCAACGACGAGGGAAACCGAAATCAAAAAGAAGACGAGATAACGGAGCAACGGAAAAAAAGGTTGGACGTGAAATGGATAGTAGTCCGTGGCAACCCGATAGCACCAAATCGAACCGTGGACCGGTCGCACGAGCACCACAAGTGCTCCAAAACACCGAGAGGGAAAAGTCGGGGGACAAGTCAGCGTCTTCCGCGGTGCAAGGGGTCGAGCGGCCACACCAGCTGGTACCGACGGATGCCGCTGCTTTTTGTAGGGAGATCGAACGTGTTGTCGACTCTGGTCCGACACACGATGGATTCTTGCTGTCACCCATGACGCACGGCCTTTTGCTTCCGGTGGTTTCCAACCCAACGCCACACATCGCGTGCGACAGAGCCTTCTTTCGCTAGGAGCGTACAACCACCAGGGTGCGATCAACCTTTCTCCTCCAACGCGTTTCCCCACACAACGCACAACGTTCCTCGTTGCCTAACCAGGCCGGCACCCCACCACCCTCCAGCCGGCAACGTACCTCGGAGCCGCCGCGCAGTCTAGAGGGCTTGCGATCTGCGGCCGCCTCCACCGCAGCCTCAAGGGTTCCGCAACCGGTCATCTCTGTTGCGACCTTGTCCACGGGGGGGATCGGGCTATCTCCCTCCACCGTTCTGCGGGGGGAGGGGGGGGTCAGGGCAGGTCGGCGTGAATAACAACGACAGCGCAAAAAAAAAAAAACGGTACGAAGAAGAAATTGCAAAGCTCATGGGGCCCCCTGAGGGGAGGGGGGGGAGGGTACCTGTTTCTAGCTTTACCTTGGGACACTCAACCACTGTGTACCTACGGGGGTGCGTGGAGCGGTCACTACGACACTCTGTCTTGCGGAGTACACCCCCTCACCGGTACACCCTCATCTCCTTCCTGAAGTGGATGAAACGATAGTAGAGCCTCCCGCAGCTGTCGTGACCGAATGGGGTCGCTCTCAGCCAATCCGGGTATACCTCGTCCTGGTGACACGTGGGTGGTGGAGCAGGCGGCGAAGGCGACAGGGGTTCTCACGCCGCGGGCCATGCTCGAGAAACACGCGAACGTGGCATGTCTTCCATTTCTGCGAGCATGCTCTTGAAGTCGAGTCTAGTAATAGCTCGTGCTGAACTCTCGGGCTAGATGGATGTCGACGGGCTATATCACGTGCGACGACAGCGCTAGCGACGACGACGATGACGACGACAAGAATAACCTCCCACCACAACCGTAATGATGACAACAACAACACGCAGCAACCGCGGCATGACCATACCCCCACCACCACCAGCACCGCAGTCAACAACAACAGCCGGCCAGACTCACGATGATGCGCACTCGGAAGCCGTCGTCCTCCATGTAGTCCTCACAGAGCGCGCTCAGGATGCCGGCGCGCAGCGGCACGGACAACGACCCGTAACTCTTGCCATTCGCCAGCGGGCTGTCGCCCGCCCCTCCCCACGCCCCGTCCACCTCCTTCTCCTCCTCTTGCTCCTTCTCGTCGGCCCCCGCTCCGCCTCCTCCGTCACCGCTCCCGTCGTCCGTCGGGGCCGGCTCCGCGGGTGCTTCGGCCGCCAGCGCTGCCCAGAACGCCGCCACCGGGTCCGTCTCTTCCGGAATGCCGGCGCCTTGGCTCTTGGCGGCGCCTTCACCGCCATCGCTCTCTGCAGCGGCGTCGGCACCGGCACCGGCACTGGAAGCGGCGGTGGCACCATCGACCTTGATCTCTGCCGCAGGACCCCCTGCCCCTGGCGACGATGTCTTCTCGCTGTGGACTCCACCGCCCACCGCCACCGCCGCATCCCCCATCTCCACCGTTTTTCCGTCAACAGGAGACCCCGCCCGGTCGCCCACGTCGTCGGTACCGTTTCCGTCTTCTTCCACGGGAGGCGACCCGGCGTCTGGCTTGGTGCCGTCGACGCCGGGGCTATCTGCGGGCTCCGGCTCGGCGGCGTCTTCGGCGACGGCAAAACCGGTGGAGGGGGGTGAAGGCGCGGTTGCTGCTGCTGCTGCGGCGGCGAGGGCGTCGGAAGCCTCTCTGGCTTCCTCGATGTTCCTGAGAAGGGTGTTGATCCTATGCAGCTCGAGCCGGAGGCTGTCCGGCTCGAGGTCTTCGTACTGAGCGAGAAGGGCTCCTCGCAGCCCGGCCACCTGCGGACACATGGACAGACAGACAGACAGACAGACAGACAGACAAAGAGCAGTGTCGATCGCGTTGCAGTCATCGAAACGTTGAGGATGCGCTCGTGCCTCGCGGCTAGGGAGTCGACGATCACATACATGGAAATGTTTGTTACCGAAGAAGGATCAACACCGGGGAACTACCAACAAAACACAGCCCGGCAGCAGGCGCAGCAGCAACGACAGCAGCGGCAATGTCAGCAACAACTGCAGCAGCGACAACAGTAGCAACAACAGCAGCGATACCAACAACCACACACACACACACCGCCACCAACAGCAGCAGCAACAGCAACGACAACAACAACAACAACAACAACAACAACAACAACAACAGCAACAACAACAACAACAGCAACAGCAACAGCAACAACAACAACAACAACAACAACAACAACAACAACAACAACAACATCATCATCAACAACAACAACAACAACAACCACAACACGCACCCCACGCCACCCGTAGGCCGGCTGGTCATCGTCGTCCGAATAAGCGGTGGCCCTGGCCTTCCTCGCCTCTCGCCGCCGCCGCTTCTCGTTGGCGCGGGCGATGTCCTGCTGGCGCTTCTGCTCAACAGCAGTTGCGGTAACGGGGGCGCGGGGGAGGGGATGGAAGGGAAAAAACCGAAATGAAGCTAACAACAGAAAAAAAATGACATGGATGGTAAGTGTCAGGAGGTATGGAGATGAGACACTTCTTGACGAGTACAGACCAAAACAGAAGAAAAAAAAAAATGCCTCGGCAGTGCAGTCCCACGTTACTCTCCTGCAAAACTAGTCTGCTATCCTTTCGATTATATACTGCCTTAAAACCCGCACCTTCTCGAACTCGACCTTCTGCTTGGCCTTGCAGTACGGGCAGAAGAAGTCTCCCTTCGGCACCGTCTTCACGGGCGGCTTGAGGCAGTACCTGTGCCGGAAGAAAACCGCCACAGCGGCGCACACACCAATCAAATCGTCGTGAGTACCACCACCACCACCACCAACACCCACCCACTAGCCTTTGCGAGGACACTAAGCTTGGTTTTCGTAGAGGTTACGGGTGTCGCGGTTAAGGAAAGGGTTAGGGTTAAGGTTAGGGTCACGAAACCCCCCTCTCTATTTCGTACTCCCAGTAGATAAAAACGAAATCCTGAAAAGGGCAGTCCCCACCATGACCACCATCACCACCGCCACCACCTTTGCAGAGTCATCGTCGCCGACCTACTACCACCCCCATCAACGCAATAACCAACATTTGCCTGTACCAAGGTCATTGCTGCCGGTCAATCTACCACACCATACCCTCGAAAAACAAAAACTTCCAGCGCCGCAACCGCCGCCATCCTCTGGAGCACCACCAAAACGCTAGCCAACATCCAACCTTCCCCACCAACAACATAAACACCACCGCCACGACCAGTGGCGTAATACAACAACTACGACGGCACCATCGCGCACGACCCCGCCGCCGCCGCCTTCACTCACGTGTGCCACTCGAGCTCGCAGCCGGGACCATCGCATTTGAGGAGCTTGTCATAGTCCACGTCGACCTTGCACACCCGGCACCCCACACGGTTGTCTGTCCTCACGCAGTCGGGGCAGTACCACCACTTACTCGAGGGAACCTAAATCAAACCACGCACGCATGCGTGCACGTGCAGTAAATGCCTGTGCTGTCCTTCGAAGCATCGAACTTCCTAGTTCCATACGCATATGTTATGTCATCACAACGACCATCATGCCCCCAACAAATGTCGCACAGTAACAAAATGTAACAGTGGCAGTACATGCGTCCAAGACAGCGAGAGCGAGAGACACAAACACACAGAGAGGGATTTGTGTCGACCTCCTTGAGAGGGGGCGATGTTCGCACTTGTCCCGGTACTGACTTCCAACTATGCATACAACGGAGTATCTCGTTAACCTTCGCATCAACCGAAAGCTCTGCCGCTACGTCGCCTACCTGAGGTGCTATATCCGCCCATTCCAATGTGTCTCTCTTTCATGTCGAAACTGCTGTCGTTGATTGTATCCCCACGCACCGTCCCCAAGAGTTCTCTTTGGGAAGGTGCGTGGGGATGCAAGAGGTGCCTAAGTTGATATTTTCACTTGCTACGTCTCTCCCTCCCCCGCACGGCTTCAATTTTGGTGTTCGATGGTGCGTTCACACCCTCGTTGCTTGTGCTAGCTACATTTGTCTAGCCCGCTTCCTTCACCTTGCCGAGAGGAGGGTCAAGGCAGCCGTAGTGATACTCCAGCCCGCACATGGGCCCGTCGCACTGCAGAATCTCGGTCGGGCGGTCGTTCTGCATGCACCCGTTGCAGCCGAACACGCGCTTCTTCTCCCGGCAGTCCGGACAATACCACTGGCCCTTGGGCACCTTCGCCCGTGTGGGTGATGCCATAGTCACGCGGGGGGGGGGGGGG